CACACACACACACACACACACACACACACACACACAAACACAATTGCTTTTATCTAATTCTCTTCCTCAAATACACTGCACAGCAAATATTAGAATAAAAAGGATTATTTCAGGTCCCTAATTTCTAGGCTTGTAAGAGAAACAACAAGAGGAAATAACAAAAATAAATCTGGCTAGACAGGCAGAGACAGAAATTTGAGAATAGCGTCTGAGCACAGGAAATGTAGAGTCAATGGAGGGAGGAAAAGAAAGACAGAGGAAGAGAGGGAGGCAGGGAAGGGGGTGGAGATCTGACCTTGATGTCTGGCCACAGCAGCCAGCTGGGGATGGAGACATGAGGGCAAAGCAGAGAAAGACAGACAGAAAGAGAGAGAGGGAGAGAGAGAGGGGGGGGGTAAAGTGCATGGATGATCAGATTGCTCAGAGGGCAATAGAGGCAGAGATGGAGGGACAGGGAGGAGGACGAGGGAGGTGAGATAGGGTGATGAAATAAACGAAAGGGAGGGGAACCGGAAGGTTCCTGGGCAACGTTCCACCAGTGCATCAACTCCCTGCAGCCACACCCCATCATACACTATCAATATCGACTGCCAACAGAGACACACAGCAGTGTTCACATCTCTCTTTCTTTTTGGTCTTCACATTTCATGTCACACACAGGACATGGAAAGACAAAGTTAACAAAAATGTAATGTAGTGATGTAGATACAAAATAAAGACAACGAATGTTAAATCTCAGAATAGCATGAATTGTTTTTTACCTGCCTACTTGGAAACTATATATAAAAAATCCAAATACCATATGGAAACTGAATACAATAAATAAAATGCAGGTTATCTTGTGTATTGCAGCATATGGTGAGTAGGTAGCTGCTAGAGCTAAATCTAAAAATGTCCTGGTAGAGATAGTGGGGAATAGTTGCTGCCAAAGAAAGTGTTGCTGAACATAAAAATAAACCCTGAAGAATCTGTCTTGTCAATTAAGCAAGGTTAGTGCTTTTACCTGAGAACACTGCAAGGCAATCCCCCCCAAAAAACAAACAAACAAAAAAAACAGAAGCACAACTCCAAAGAAAAAAATAAAGCCAAATGTCAAAAACTGCTGTCCTTAGAATCTGATGTTTTTATAACTTGGCCAACTAGTATGCTAATTTTCTATCAGCTCTGACTTATAGCCCGGAGCTAGCCATGAGCTAGCCCGGAGCTAGCCATGAGCTAGCCCGGAGCTAGCCATGAGCTAGCCATGAGCTACCTAGCTAATACTAGTGTTAGCTAATGATGCACAAGCTGTACTAAACAAAATGGTGAAAACTATGAAAGGCTTAAAAAAATGACAACTCTTAATTTTCAATTTCATAATTTAATTTCCTTTTTCCCCTCCCAAAATTAACATCTCAATTGATTTAACAGTGCTAGCTGCAAGCTAACTTTTAATTTACAGTATACTGTAAACTAGCAACCCCTTGTAGTGTTGACTCCCATGCGCTACCATTTTACCATCTTTTCCAAATATGGTAACATATTTTGTTTTCTACCTCTTAACAAGCCTCAGCTAAAGTTAGCATCAAATGAGTTTACACTGAAACCTAGCTAACCTGCGCTAATATTAACAGATCGCTCGAGAATTCTACACTCTACTCCACATTAATTTTTGTTTATCAGATGGAAATTATCTTTAGCATGCCTTAATTTATTCAGGGTTAATTCGGCATTGTTTCTGACAGAAAATGTTGTTTTAACCTAATTTCAAGAAAACATATTTTTGTATAGGGCCAGTTGAGTTTAACTTATTGAAGATGGTTATTGAATTATGATGTCAATGAGAACACATATCATTAATATAGTCATCTCAGGATTATGGACATCTGTAGCACTAGCTGTGGGAACAGAAGCCCCACCAATCTATAACTTTCTGTTTGTGAGAGGTAGCCAATCACAAAAGGGGAAAAGGGGGCAAGTGAGAAAGGAATCAATCCAAAGCTTGTATAAAAAAAGGATTATTTTGAGCTGTTAATCATAAAAATTCTTCTAGTACAATCCAAGAATACAATTATAGAGTTATCTTCAGCATGGAATTAAAATTCTTGGAGGCACTAAAGTAATTAGCAGAAAATACTAGACTCCTGGTAGCGTCAGACATAAATAGGCTTATCCCTTATTATTAATAATTACTGGACATTCTAGAGTAATATTAGTCCCACAAGAACAGAAGTCTAAACACTGTGGGCTTTATCTAGAACAGCATATTTCTTTGACATGAGAAAAAAACAAACAAATAACCAAAAAAACCATCAGGATGAACAGGATCTGGTTGGTTGCGTTCATTCAGGTGAGCGGACACCTCACCTTCTTATTTCCTTACCTGTTGTCCTGGATTTTCTGTCGATTGTATCGGATGTGGAAGTCTCTAAGCTCCTGTATCACTCCTGCAGACAACATATCTTCTACACGAGCATCCAGCCGCTTGTCTAGAGCTGAAGGACAGAAAGAAGTAGATATGACAAATGTAGCATGGAAATAAAGACACTTTCCACATTTCAAAGCTTGTTTTATTCCCCCACACAAAGAGCACATCTACAAGTCTCCCTCCTTACCCTCCATGTCAGCATGCAGCCAGAAGATGCAGGGGTTTTTGTACCTTAGCGGCCCCCCAAGACCATCACCGCCTTCCTGCCCCCTCTGCTCCTCCAGCAAGCGGCTATGTGGAATCCCCGTCTCTTTGTGGATTTGCAGACTCCTGTGTAAGTTTTAAGTTCAAATCAAACACTTGAAATCCACATGTACTATGAAGTTTTATTGAACTCCTTGTTGATAAGGCCTGGGAGGGTAAACTGAAATTACATAACAATCCGGTCAAATGAAGAGTACAATTTAAAAGTGGTGAGAATGTTCATTATTGCTGCACCAGGGGCATATACTTCAGAAAAATGAAGACATAAAACAAGAAAAAATACAAATAATTATGAAGAACAAACAATCTCTCAATCCTTTTCTAACCAGGATACTTTCAAAGTGAGCTTCAAAAACCAACACACCAAAACTCTCGACCTGTTGAGATTTAAATCGAAACCAAACTTGTGGCTGTGTGCTCAGGTTAAGAGGAAAAGATCATCCTTACCAGCTCATATTAAAGAACTGGGTAACTTAACCTGAGGCCAGAGTGCATGCTACACATCATGGAGCACAACACATGCCCCAACACAACATCCAAATCACTAAAACTGACAGATTACCCTTCACCAGCTGTATCACCTGGCTATCTTGCGCTTGTCATTTGGGTGCAACATGGCAGCCATATCGGGGTCCACCTCGGCCAGTCGTTTATGCAACTCAGCTCCTCCCAGTTTCTCGAGCTCGAGCTTCCTGTTCGGAGACCCATCCCCTCCGTCCCCCGGCTCCTCGTTCTCCTGCTGCGAGACAAGTTGTATTTGCAAAAGCTGCCCTCGAACACTGCCATTAAGCTCCTGCTTCCAAATCTTTAACACATTACAAGGTCCGTTTAGAGCGGTGCCTAGAGTCAGAAGTAATGTGCAATGAAAACAGAGATTAAGATGAGAAAAAGCACCCGTGGCAGTTTTATTAACAGTAAATGACTATGCAGCATGAAGAAATTAAACTAAAGTGAAATATTACATTATCTTCAAGCTGCGAAAGCTTAAGCACTCTGGCTTAATGTTGTTATCAAAAGTAAAATGGGTAAAGATAATAAGACATTTATACATTTAAGAGATTAACAGTACAAAAGACAGAAAGGACAGAGAGCGGTGTATTCAAGTTGAGCATCTATGACACTTACGCCAGTGTCCAACAGGACTTTCCACAGCAGAGACTCAATGTAATAGTTTGTTCCTCCAACAATGATTGGCAGTTTGTTCCTCTTGTGCATGTCATCTATGTTGGAATGTGTCAAGGAAGAAGTTTATCCCAGCGTATTTTGCATGTCTTAACAATTCCAGGACATTGTTGTGCATTCATGTACAATCTAAAGTAATTAAAAATATCATTATTGTTTAATTGAGGTAGAAAGAGTGAATACATCATATTCCTAATGAAAACTTTAAGACCTGTGATGACTACATTATGAACCAGTATTTCAGGAATTCTGGGTTTTCCCTTTATGCTACTGTTGAAGTTAACAGCATCAGTAGTATTTCAAAACACTCAAATATTATTGGACTTAATGGATGGATACATGAAATTTGTTTGTATTTTTATTTGTGCTGCCAAATATTAACGCGTTATCACAGATTACGCCATCATCACGATTAACGTGATTTTTAAAAAAAAATAAAAAATAACACAATTAACGCATCTGGAGTGCAGAATGGCTCAAAAATCCCTGAAATGTTTCCGTCAACGCATTTCAGGCAGTTTGTCCAAGTAGAGTTACCTGCGCACATGCGCAAATGGGCAGTTGATCTGGTAGTGACAGGCAGCTGAACCAGTCAGCTCAATAGTAGACGTAATTACATATTAAAAGATTTCAAAAGGGAAGAAATTGAAAAAATAAGAACTGATTATATCACCTTCCCTATCCCTTCTAAAGGGAAAGAAGTCCAATTTAAAATTTTGAATAAAATTTACCCGACAAATAGACTCCTTGGTGATAGATTCAAAATAGAAACTGGTAATTGTGTATTTTGTGAAACAGAAGAGGAGGATTTGGACAATCTATTCTTTTTGTGCAATTTCATACAAATGTTTTGGTTGGATTTTCATACCTGGCTTTATTCCAGTGGGATTCAAATTACCCCATTTACCTTAAATATGATCATGTTTGGAGTGTTTTTGAAAGAAAAGAAAGCTAATTATGGTGTCAATGTGTTATTAATCTTGTGCAAGCAATTTATACATAAATGTCGTTTTTTTTAAGACCAAACCAACGCTAGCGTACTGGAAAAACGACTTAAACCTGTTGGTTAAATCTTTGACTTTAGTTAAAAAGAAAAAGGCTGCTTTTTTTGTTTTCTTTGTGGAAGATTTTGATTTAGTGAGTTAATATTCTGTTAAGTGACCCCATCTTTATATTTTCTTTTTCCTATGTATGAAAGTTGCTAATATGTAAGGAATGTTTATTCTCTAAATGTGTAATATATGGTGCATTTTGTCTGTATGTTAATTTTACTAATTAAAAAAAAAAAAAAAAGTCAGCTCAATAGACTATGTGCACGTTAGCATGTGCTACTTCCGGTGGGGAAACTCCTGTGGGGAGCTTTGTTTCCGGTGTCCTATTCGCGCCTGGTTTACGGTCCAAAACAAGTTAAGTAAATGAATGCGGCGATTTACATTTCTATAGATGTCTTGGGCATTTACCCAATATATCTGTAAATTATGTTCAAAAGCAAAAGAGAAAAGGGATTCAAATGTTATATTTCTCAGTATCTGTAAACAGCTGTCGCTCATTTATTGAGGGTGTTATGTTCTAAAAATAAGCAGCGATAGGTGAAATCAAGTAGCCAATTTTATTTTTTGACAGTGCAAAACGTTTCGTGGACATCGTGGACATACAGTACTGCACTTCAGAGTCACACTGCTAGTGATCGATGCAGCGATTCTGTACTGTACAGGAGAGACGTCACGGAGGAGATCGTCTGCAGCGATCAGGACACAATGTGATGTAAAAAAAATAAATAAGCATGCAAACTTGCACTAAAAAAAACCCGCGAAACAGCGAGGTGAAAGGTGAACCGCGTTATAGCGAGGGACCACTGTAATTTTGAAGGTAAGTCACAACATACCCTTCGTAAATACTAATGTATAGAAACCCTTACCAGCAATCGTTCATTTTTTGTGTGGCTTTTTTCACGGTTTGTTAACATGCTGTGTAGGTGTGTACTTGACTAGCTGATATCGACTTAACGGGGGAAACATCTGGTTTGACTATTCTTCACCTGTAGTTTGAATGCTGAACATTTGCCTGTGTATATCATAAGACCAGTCACTATACAGAGATACTTCTGAATGTGGACGATGTGTCTTCTGCTGCAGTTCTGCTTGTGTTGAGTGATGTAAACAACTGATCGATCTAAACTCTTTAAACGTCAAAATTGATCATTAGATTTTTTTCATGACACAACAGTGGTGAGTGTTCCCACCTTCTGCTCTCTGTAACTTAACGCGATCTTTCCATTTTCGAGTTTTGGACATGATTTTGGAGTAAATCTTCGCAGTAGCGATTGACCGCAAAGTAAAACTATCGGAAATGTACAACCCCACATCCGGTCTCAAACCAGGAAGTTAGCATTTTCTCGTGCACAGGGTCTATATGGTAGATGATAAACGCTCACTGGCCCCCTCGATGGGAAATTTGAGTATTAACAGACTAACAAGACGGAACAGTCGACCGACATAAAGTATTATGCACATTGTGCAAGAAGGAATTTTCTTTTTACCGAACACTTCCAGCTTAAAATATCACATTAACGCGAAGCACACGTTAGTCGGGGATGCTGCTAGCACTTTGGCTAACGTGTCACCCAGCTTGCGACAAACCACTCACGGAGCTTCGGGGGCTCATTAGTCTACCTCGGACATATTGACTGACACAGTTACCAAGTGGATTGCACCAACCTGCAGACCTGTTAATGTAGTTGAGAACACGAGCTTTACATAGATTTGGTTCCTTGTTTCAAGGACATGAAGTGCCTCCCCAAGAGTGACGGAGAGAGAGGATAAATGTCTACAGAGTTTTTTGTTAACATGTTTATTGAACATCTTGAACATTCATGTTAAGTGCGTATATTTTCCCTTTTTTCTGGAGTCTGTTTGCTCATGCAAAATGAAATGCGATTAATGTAGAATAAAAATGAATGATATTTAATCGTGATTAATCAAAATTAATCCACAGTAACCCTGTGATGAATCTGATTAAACATTTTAATTGTTTGAGAGCACTAATATATATTATATATTAGTGAATACTTAAACTTTCTAAAAAGTTGTATTTCACAGGAGAGAACCTGTGCTAAAAGACTGAAGAAAACTATTGAAATTCTCTTTGAATTTAAGCATACATCCTCTGTGTTGTTTCTGCATTTACTTCATTATATTGCATAAATGTCAGTTACAAGCTTAAATATAAAGTTGAAAAAATGTAATTGCAGCCAGGCTATTGATCAAGTAATTGCGATTAATTACAGAAAATTGTGCGATAGTAGTTAATTTTTTTTAATCTATTGACAGCACTGATTTTTATGGTTAATATTGACAACAAATCTGAATAAAAACCTGACTTGTATCTATGTTGCTATTTTGACTCTGAACATTTGTAGCCATTATTCAGAGGAGGTTTAAGTGAGAATCAAACAATCTGGTGTCTTAGCTCAACACAAAATACTCTTAAATCAGCCAGTTCCTGAGTACAAAGGTCGTGCCCAATTTGATGTCCAATTGCCCCCATGAAGGAACAGTGCAGGTAATAGTCCAGTAAATTCAGAGAAAGCAACTGGGCTCATGTTTCCTGTCTCCTGCATGCTCCAGGCCTGGACGATTCTCCTGACATCTGGAGTGTGAAATTTGGTTATGTCAGCTTTAAACTTCTTGTACTGTGTCATTTGAATAAATGCCCTCAGCCTAAAGATGTGGAGCTTTCCAATAAGGAAAAAAAAAAAAAAGCAAAAAATATGGTTATGTCTAGGAAAGAATTTAAAATCTGTGTTGCAGAACTTTGATTCTGGTCTTTCTTACCCCAGTAGGCCTCTCATGTCATGACCCATTACACCTCCTGACCCCCGGCTTAAGACTATTTATGGTCTGCCGAATGTATTTCGGACTGTTGTGGAGAAAATATAAGCAATAGAAATGCTTCCACCTGGGCAACCTGAAACTTTTGAAAGACCAAAAAGTAGACAGCTTTGAAACAAATGTCAGAGTTGTAAACTTAATATTAGCAATTTAGTTCAGCTTAATCAGAATTATAGTGTCTCCTTTAATTTCCACCACTTGGGCAACAAAAGGCTGGAGGAATACTTTGGAACGTAAGAGGTTAATTGGCAACAGGTCCGTAACATGATTGGGTGTAAAATGACTGTTTTAGAGAGGCAGAAGTAACAAGATGATTTACAAATTGTGGAATAATTTCAGAATAATAATCCTCAATGTAAAATTGTGACATTGTATATCTCATTTACCTTGCACAAAATCATCAAAACATTATGAGAATCTGGAGAAGTCTCTGTGAGCAAGGGTCAAGGCCAAACTAACTAAATAAATAAATACATTGGATGCCTGTGATCTGCAGGCCTTCAGGTGATGCTGCGTAAAAAAATCGGCATGAATCTGTCCTGGAAATCACTGCATAGGCTCAGTGACTCACTGTCACTGTGAATACAGCTCACCGTGCTATCCACAACTGCAGGTTAAAGCTCCATCGTGCAAAGAAGAAACCGCATGTGAACATGATCCTGCACCATCATCATCTTCTTTGGGGCAAAGCTTGTTTAAAATGGACTGAGGCGAAGAGGATCATTGCATTCTGTTTTTATTTAAATTCGTCCCACCTCTTTTGTAATTGTAATTGTAAAATAGAAAAGCATAACAGGTCCCCTTTCAAAAAAAACCTGCAGGTCACACAGACAGAGCCTGTGTGCCACACCTTATTCCTTCTCCCTCTTTTTCTGTCGCATCTTCTCTCATCTTGCACCTTGCCTTCTCTCCCCTCCTCCCTCCCTCTGGTCGCCTACTTTCTCCACTCTGGGATGATTAAATAAATACCCGACCAAACAAGATAAAGGCCCATCAGCCATCGTCACTCATCACTTGCAGAGGAGTGAGGGCGACTGCCGGCAAACAGCGAGGAAAATTAAAGGAGGAGAAAACAGAAAGAGGGATGGAAAACTGAGCAAACAGAGCCACAGAGGAGGAGGTCCAGAAGGAGAGAGTTTATGTGAACGGCATGTAGAGAGAAGGCTTGATGGCTGATGAAGAGTCATTACACCCATTAGGCGTCTTAACTATCTTGCACACTCCTTCCTCTTTTTCCTGATTTTCAGTTAAAATCCTCCAGCTCTACTAATCTGTATTCATCTCTTCCCGTTTCTCCCTCTTTCCCACCAGCAGGCTCGCGGTGCACTGAGCCTATTCTTGGAGCTACCGCATCCCCTCGCTGCGCTGGTGAGGGTGAGAGAGAGAAAAGCGAGTGTCTGTGTGTGTGCGTGCACCCCATCCTGATCTATTAATACCCTCTCTCTAGTTATCGCCTCCTCTCTCCACATCTGTGTGACGGCCAGTGTCTGCAGGAGGGTGTGACTGCCCAGACCGTGTGTAGATTTACCACAGAGACTCCTCTATAAATACAGTCTCTAGAGATCTCTCGCTTTTCATCTTCACTGCAACATCTGCAGCAAGACACAATGACAAAACAAGGATGCGTGCACACTTACAAAAATCAATTACTAAGAGTGAAATCAGTTCTTTCTCTGCAGTTACTACTTGATAATTGGGGTGGGGCATTGTTGTAACATGCGGTAAGAGGTGTTATGGAAAACACTGCTCCCATGCTTTCACATGGCTCCAAAAAGGATATCAGTGCCACCGCTTTGTTCCTGAAGTCTACCACCGTGTAGGTGCTCACTAATGGGTCCACAAAGCCGATCATGTGATGTGTGCATTGGTTGCGCTCCTCAGCTGTCACCTTATTAGTGACAATGTCCAGGCCCTGGTACACCTGAAGGCACACAAAGAAAGGAATCAACAGGCAGGAAAAACTACCACATAAAATAAAAATATAAATAATTAGCCATTACAAAAACCATTACAGGATAATTCAAAAGGGGAAGTTAAAATTCCTGGAAGACAATTAGTACTGCAACATAATTAGCATTATTGAGGTTTCTTGTTTAGCGTCATGTGCACATTGCTCATGCACATACAACCACCGGTCTTGAGGGAAAAATGTGTGTTCCCTGACCAGTTGGCTGGTGGTTGCTGGAGGTTCTTAGGTGAAATAGGTTGTACCAAAAACCTCCTTGCGATAGCTTTAGTTACTATCAGACTGCTGCGATCACCTGCAGTTTGCATGGAAGACACCAACATCTCCACAAACACTGACTACTAACCTACCCTCAGTAAAGCTTGAAAAAGTACAACACAAACTGGAAACTGAGAATGCAGCCAAAGTCATTCAAAAGGAACAACCTTGTACTCTGAAGGGAACAGTCTCCGTTTGCAGACAAGTAATCCCCCATGGAAACTACGATCAAATAGGGTAATCTGCCTGCGACCAAAACAAAGCACTGTATACCAGCAGTCCCCAACCCCCAGGCCATGGACCGGTACCAGTCAATGAGTCATTTGGTACTGGGCCACGAGAGTTGAGGCTCAGGTGTGAAATGTAGGGTTTACGGGGTTTTATCTGTTTATATCATTATTTTTTATTGTTTTTATCGTTAACTCTGTTTCTCTGGGTCTTTTCGTGCGACACCTTAAAGGCCGGTCTGTGAAAATATTGTTGGACATAAACTGGTCCGTGGTGCAAAAAAAGGTTGGGGACCGCTGCTGTAAACCACTTTGCGACCAAGTTTGCTTTCATTGTCGGAGACAACGACTCTATAAAAAGACAAACTTTTCTACATTCATTAGATAGAAAACATACTTTTGTTCTTCATGAAGGTACCCATTTCAGATACTTGCTGTCTAGCTAAGTTACAGCTAGCCAGCTGACAGCATCCTTGTTGAGCAATAAATGTAACTCTGATTTTATATCTGACCTAGCGCAAAAAAAGACATTTGAGGGTAGCTTGGGGTGAAAGACTATTTTTGAATATGGTCGAATAGTTTCACGTAATTACAGAGTAGTAAACCCTAGGTAATAACTCCTAATGCTAAGAAATTGCTTGATAACCAATGCAGCAACTAGCTGGCTAACTTTAGCCTGCTTACCCGCTAACATAATTAGCAAAATAGTACATGACGCATAAGTGTTTGGTGGGGGGGGGTCTTCTCCTAATTTGGAGTTTGTGTTATGGTCTGCATTGGGTACCAGTTGGTAATTAGTGGACTCCATTTCAAAGCTAACATTTGCTAGCATTGGTCACAGCTGACTTAAGGAGCAGGAGAAAGGCAATGAGGCAAATCACTGAAAAGCACCACATCACCACAGCCAAAGTCTCTCCCACAGAAATTAGTCCACAGGGTGTCAGAAGTCACAGTGAGAGTCTGGAAAGGTTTCTCTTTTTTTTAAAGTTACTTTACAATCTAGTCAGACATTTACAATAAAAGGGTGTGTTATGTAAAAGTTACATAGAGCATGCTGAAAACAGTATTTCAGGCTATATTATGTGCTGTAAGACCGCATGTTTATTGAATGTTCTCAATCTGAGAAATTATAAAACCCAGGGCAACACAGCAAAAATAGCTTCTATAAAACAAATAGGGTCGGGGATTGAAATCTGGGCTAGTATGAGACTGTGCGTGTGTCTTTCAATGTCAGAAGCTGGTCACAGGGCTATTAAGGGAAAGAAAGGATGAGTGCTGTCCGTCTTCCATGTCAAATTGCTCTGGCCATCCCTGCAAATTATGACACGCATCTCCCGTCAGCTTTACATCACCCAGCGATGGAGCTCCCTCTTGGAATGTGACAGCTGGGTGTCACACAGTTGTCCGTCATGATTTTCACACTCGAACAGAGTTGAGAGTTTTAGAAAGGGATATCTTGGGATACAGAGCACATTTCTTGCTAGGCTTCTCTTGTTAGAAGCCGTGTTCAGCCTTTTAAACTTCAAAGTCGTTTTCTCCAGCATTAAAATGTCTGAGATGATCACGCACATCAAAAGCTGATGCGCTCCCTTTCGGTGTTCATGTGCACTCCATCTGCAGTTACTTTTTACATGAACTGAGATGTTTTTAATTTGCACGGAATATGTTCACCTTCACATATGTTTGTACAAACCAATTATTTCCCCCCATTTGCAATTACAGTTCAGTTACAGAAGTCATTTGGTGACATAATATCTAATATTTTCTGGATCACAGAATAAGGAAACAAAGAAACTTGAATTCATCCATTGCACAAGTGGGAGGGAAATTGGAGTGTATCATTAAGCTCGGTAATAATCAGACACAAAAAAGAGACAAAAGATCAAGAGATCATTACAACCGGATCAAGTCATAAAATGCCCTGAAAGAAAAGTAACTCGTGATATTTATCGTTCAGCAGAGTTGGAGCTCCTGAATGATGCAGTTTGGTTTGCTGTTCGTTAGAGAGTTGTCAGGTCTAATAGTATTTAACATTTTAAAGTTTTCTTGGGGAATTACTTTAAGTGAAGGAAATTTGTCCTGTCCTGGCTGACTGTGCTGCAAGCCCAGACACGGTTAAAAATGTCATTTTAATGGGTTTTCAATTGAGCTAATGTCCATTTAGGTTCTCAGTCATCTAGGTCATGGTAGTCTGAGTCCTTGAAAAGAGAGCAACCTTCAGGTTAGAGAAGATGTTTAACCTCTTATTATCCAAGGAGTTTCTTGAGCTCCAAAACAACTGATGGAACCTGAAGTCCCAGGTACTTAACTCCTAGTGTGGTTGTCTCCTTGGAGGTCGTCCTGGGGGCCAAGGTGTTAAACGCTAACGCTGCCCAACCGCACCATCACACACCCCACCATTATCTTCATGCACCTGGAAAGGAATCTCAAGACTACGCTATAGGTGGGTGATAGCTGGTGCTCGACAATCTCTGTTGAATGATGGTCATTCACAGTGGGCGTACATGACCTCCTTTACGCTTGAGTAGAATTACGGGGAAGGCATTCGGCATCTACCTGCAGCGAGTATTTGTTGTCAGATTGGGGCAGTGGCAAAAACATCTGACACAACCGGTCTAGCTTACAAACAGCTAAAGTTAAACCGAATGTCAAAAACAATAAAGCGTCTACTGCGGCCACTGTTTTTGCTTTTCATTTTTGATATTTGATGATTTTTTTAATGCTTCTCTGGTCCCCGATGAATGCCGCTGACGCGCCCCTTCTTTATTACGACCTACTTATCAAACAACCAGCATTCAACCAATGCATAGGCCATCTGCATCCAACAACATGTGGTTGGAATTTTGGACGACTACACGGTAGCACGTTTGTGGAGGGTGAAAACCCCCTTTCTGCACGCTGTCCCAACAAAAACCTGAACGCAGATGGACCACAAATTGCATTCAGGAGTGCTTGGTGGGACAAAGAGTACTCCTTGACTGCCACTGGAAGGTAAACTTGGGGTGATCAGGGCAGATATTCCCTCTAAAGAAGGGGAAAGAGAAGAAAAAGGAATAAAGAATGCATAGGCTGGTGTATGAATGATTGATGAACTCTTGAAAGATACATTGACTTTTCACATAAGTTTCCTATACTTCTGAGCTGTCTCATCTTTTCTTCTCTTTTCTCTTTTTCTTACTACTCCGACTCGTTCAACAGCGAATCTTTGGTTTTGTAACGTTCATCATTTTTCACGGCAGGAAAAAACTGCTCCCAAGTGAATGTAAAGAGTGACTTTATCCATTTGTCCATTCATGCTAAACAAATAACACTTGTGTGTCCATTTGGGAGGGTGCTTTAGTCTTAATAGCTGGCTGTCTGCTTTGATTAAAGGCTGCATTTTCCTATGCTGAAATACTGAATAATAGTGTGTTTCACCAAGATTTTATTTATATATATATTTTTTGAACTCAGCCTTCTGGTTTTATGTGGACAGGATTTAGGTCTACTGGTACGTAATTTTTGACTTGAAAGGGTTTCACAAAGTTTTCCTGGCATCTTCAGGGGGATTCACTTTCTGAGCTACAATCACATACTCTGAATGGATGACAGTAGACTACACACAGATGCTGTGCAGAACGTGGCCTCAGGGCTGTATTTATATGATAAAGTGGTGATGGCGTGTGGGAGGAATGATATTAGCCACCACTGCTTCTGTCTTACATGAAAGCTTGTTTGCCATATATGTACTGTTCATCATCAGCAGACATATACACCACTACTGGTATACCAACGTGTGGCAACGTAAAGGCAAAGCCAACTCTGAGTATCTGAACATCTCCAATGTGTGTTAGGCAACCACATCTTAAAGTCTTTGGAAATCTGCTATAGGGTTGGAATACCATTTTTCCCCAAAGCTATTCCTTCCTGATAACCACACCGATTTATTGGTGAGACAATATTAGCCGTTTTCCGATGTATCAGTGTCTGGATTTATAACAACCGATAAACCAAAATTTAAAAAGTAAAGAAGAGATGGGAGAAACACCCCCAATCCAAGTTTTGAGTGTTGGCACGCCACAGTTTGCCCACCAGAGGGAACCAAGCAAGAATCAGGCAAAGTGTAAACAAGTAAAAAAAAAAAAAAAAAATGTTCTCGAGTTCTTGTAACTGGACACACTCATTAAATAAGGTAGAAATAAAGAAGTGAAACAACTACATTCTAACTTCCTTACCTTTGCAATTTTTAGAGTTTTGGGGCTGTTTCTGTTTCCATTTAACTGCATCTGTAAGCTGTATTCATGAGCGTGTCTCAATAACTAGCTTATTGCATGATGCTGCTTCCAATCGTTCTGCATTAATTTGGGGTAAAATATTCCAAATCTACTCGTCTTATATTGTGATTTTCACCCAGTCAGATTAAGCTCAGAATGATTAAGTCAGCACAAACCAAAGATTGCTGTTTTGTAATATCTCAAAGTTGTTTTTCTT